TGTGGCTGGCGCCTTAGCTGCTTGAGCCACAGGCGCCTAGCCTATGATTTTTTTTTTTGAGACAGAGTCTCACCATGTCACCCTCAGCAGAGTGCTGTGGTGTCACAGCTTACAACAACCTCAAACTCTTGGGCCTAAGCAATTATCTTGCCTCAGCCTACCAAGTAGGTGGGACCATAGGTGCCCGTTACAATGCCCAGCTATTTTTTATTGTTTTTGTTGTTGTAGTTGTCGTTGTTTCTCTGGCCCGGGTCAGGTTCGAACCCACCACCCTCAGTATATGTGACTGGCACCGTAACCACTGTGTTACAGGCGCCAAGCCTAGTCCCTTAAATATAGCAGGTAGGTTGCTAGATAGCTATTCCAGCTAGGGATGGACACAGGGAGGTCACTTGCTTTGAGGTGTCTTTTCTGGTCCCTAGTCCAAGCCAGCTGCCTTTCTGTCTGTTCTTGTTTCTCCCCACCTGGCTATTAAGTCCCATGGTGGCTGCTGCTTTAGTATTTGTCTGTCTAGATCTGAGCTGCCACTTTGCAAGGTGGGGCTGCCAGGCAGGAGCTGTGGCCTTTGATTCAGGCACTCCAGGTGGCCTAGGAAGGGAGTTTGCCCTTCAAGCACCTCAACCTGCAAGTCCAATGTAGAACTGGCCACATGTGTCTGTTTCAAATTTATTACGTTTAGGCACAGCGCCTATAGCCCAGTGGCCAGGGTGCCAGCCGCATACACCAGAGCTAGCGGGTTTGAACCCAGTCCAGGCCTGCCAAACAACAATGACAACTACAACCAAAAAATAGCCGGGCGTTGTGATGCTGGTAGTCCCAGATACTTGGTGGGCTGAGGCAAGAGAATCAATCATTTAAGCCTAAGAGTTTGAGGTTGCTGTGAGCTGTGACACTATGGCACTCTACTGGGCAACATAGTGAAACTCTGTCTCCAAAAAATAATAATAATAATAATTACATTTAAATAAAATTTAAAACTTAGTTCCTGAGGCTCTGTACCTGTAGCTAAGCAGCTAGGGTGCCGGCCACATACACTGGAGCTGGCGGGTTTGAACCTGGCCAGGGCCTGCCTAATATGATGACAACTATAACAACAACAAAAATAGCCAGGTGTTGTGGTGGGCACCTGTAGTCCTAGCTACTCTGGAGGTTGAGGCAAGAGAATTGCTTAAGCCCAGGAGTTTGAGGTTGCTGTGAGCTGTGATGCCATGGCACTCTACCAGGGATGACATAATAAGGCTGTCTTAAAAAAAAAAAAAAAAAAAAGTTACAATTCTTACCTGATATCTGATAAATGAAGTTTAATAATACACTTTTTTCTTTTTCCCTCCTATCAGGTATTGTGATATTAGTTGGCTGGACATCAAGCTGCCTGTGAATCTTTAATTTTTACCTTGAAAATGGAAAACATGGTGGGGCCCTCTCTGGGAACTCTTGGCTGTTGCTGATGGCAGAAACTGGGCTCATCTGTAGTTCATGCACCCTTTGATGTTAATCCAACCTGGGTCATCCTGACCATGGATGGTGCGGCAGCTGAGCAGGATGGCCTCTTGGAGGATGGACCCAGCAGTGGTACTTCAGCTCTCCCTGAGGCACCTCTAGAACCTCAGGGCTCACTGGCACTGCTTAATATGTGGGACAAGGCCCAATGTAAGTCCTCAGGTTGCTCTGTGTGCTGCTAAACAGGAAGACTATGGTGTTGGGACATTCTGAGTGTGTTTTCGTAACTGGATGCACGTTTTTTCTCAGTTGGTGCTAACTATAAATCAAACACTGTAGGAATTAAGAATCACTTGGTCATTGTGTGTTTGTGGTATAGTAGCAGTGTTTTCCCTTAAAGCTTCTATGGGTCTTTGCTGACATGTTATTGTCCCCTGCCTAAATTTCTCCCTTTTTGATTGGTCACTTGCCAAGTTTTTGTTTGTTTTTTTTTCTTTTTTAGACAGAGTCTCAAGCTGTTCCCCTGGGTAGAGTGCCATGGCATCATAGCTCACAGCAACTTCCAACTCTTAGGCTTAAACCATTCTCTTCTCTCAGCCTCCCAAGTAGCTGGGACTACAGGTGCCTGCCACAACACCCGGCTATTTTTTGGTTGTAGTTGTCACTGTTGTTTGGTGGGCCCGGGCTGAATTGAACCAGCCACTTGAGCTACAGTGCCGAGCCACTTGCCAAATTTTAATAACTGTAGTTCAGAAACTGTCAGGTAGTTATCTAAGGATTATTGAGTCACAGTTTTTTTTTTCTTGTTGAGACAAAGCCTCACCCTATACCCTGATCAGAGTGCAGTGGCATCATAGCTCCCTGCAACCTCAGACTCGGGCTGTGAGCATCCTGCTGCCTCAGCCTCCTAAAACCGCTGGGATTATAGGTGCTTGCCTAGGCACCTGGCTGGGTTTTTTAATTTTTTTTTGATGAGTTGGTGTCTTAGTCTTGCTCAGACAAGTCACTGAGTCACAGTTTCATATTATTGGCTGGGTTATTTCATGACCCTGCCTGGTCAGGAGGTGTTAGCACAGTGTATTATGCACTTTAAAATCATATTATGGGCGGCGCCTGTGGCTCAAAGGAGTAGGGTGCCAGCCCCATATGCCGGAGGTGGTAGGTTCAAACCCAGCTCCGGCCAAAAAAACTGCAAAAAAAAATAAAACCATATATTACAAATCTACTGAGTCACTAGCAGAAATTGCATTCTGATTCTTGTGAAATTATGTTTAGACACTTAAAATGGTTATTGCCATACCAGTGCCAGGTGAAGCAGGTGGTAGCACAGGCCTGAGACCATAGGTTCTGTATCAGATGGATGTGGAACCAGATTTCCAGTCTGTAATCAAGAGTAATGTGCCCTTGAGCAAGAGACTTAATCCATCTTCTCTTTTATAAAACAGAAAAATAATGTTACCCTAAATCATAGGGTGGCTGTGAGGGTTAAAAGAAGTGATGTCTAGGGTGGTGCCTGTGGCTCAGTGGGTAGAGCACCAGCCCTATATACCGAGAGTGGCGGGTTGAAATCTGGCCTCGGCCATACTGCAACAAAAAATAGCTGGGTGTCGTGGTAGGCACCTGTAGTCCCAGCTACTCAGGAGGCTGAGGTAAGAGAATAGCCTAAGCCCTGGAGTTAGAGGTTGCTGTGAGCTGTGACGCCACAGCACTCTACTAAGAGTGACAAAGTGAGACTCTGTCTCAAAAAAAAAAAAAAGAAGAAGTGATGTCTATAAAGTGCTAAGTACCTGGTGAGTGTTCAGGAAGTGGTGGCGGCCATTTCTATCATCTTAATCATCATTGATGTGTTTATCCATAATTAGGCTTGTATTTGGAAACAATAGAGGCTTAATGTTTATTAGGCTGTTTTACTTTTAGATTTTTTAAAAAGTATGGTATGATGGCCAAAAAAACACTCTGTGTTAGGTAAACAGGAAGGTGCCCATCAGAAAGTGGAATTAACCCAATTAACTTGTATCTGAAATGCAGCAGAACTGAAGTGAGTGGTGTGGGGCCCCTGGCTCTCCTTCCTGTATGGAACCTGTTTGTATTCTGCTTTATCTTTCAGGTAGGCATGACAGGAAATAGCTGTTTTGCTTGGGATTCACATTTGTAAGTGACAGAAACTGATTTTTGATTTGCTTCAGCACAAAGGGGAGTTCTTGGATGTGTACTGTGTGGTCATGGGATCTAAGTGACACTGACCCCCCATGAGAGCTCAGGGTGTTGCTGGGCCTAGGACCCACTGGAGCCAGGGCTCAGACCTGCAGGACCCTCCTCACATCGTCTTGGTCTTTACTGACTGGCTCACCCATAAGGATGAGGCCCGTTCTTGAGCATTTTGGGGAGGAAAAAGACTAAGAAACATTTAAATGTAAAAGTCTTTCCTTTTTGTTTATTTGATAAGGAAATGTGTTTTAGATTGTGTAGTGAATAATTCTATTTATAGTAATATTAATGGGTTGAACTAAGTATAATACACAAACACAGAGTTGTCACTGGTTAAACTTGGGCTTCTGCCCCTAACTGGTAGCCTCCAAGCAGAAGGTTCTGTGCTTAGTTTTGACACAGTTTTTCTGATGAGATGGTCTACCTGTTTGCCTTAGAGGAGGATAAACTTCGGCTTTTAAATAAGTTTGGAATCAGGCCTTTGTAAACATGACTGTGATTAGCACTGCTGTTAGCAATTCTTCTTAGAAAAATTGTCAGCAATGTTTTAAGCTTTTCCTTTTTGGGGGGCTGGGGGGCAAGGGCTTGTTCTGTTATCCAGGCTAAAGTGCCATGGCATCAGTCTAGCTCACAGCAACCTTAAACTCTGGGCTTGAAAGATCCTCCTGCTTTAGCATCCTGAGTAGTTGGGACTACAGGTGTGCACCACTGTGGGCTAAGTTTCCTATTTTTGTTGAGACTCCTGAGCACAAGCAATCCTCCCCCCAACCCCAGCCTCCTAGAGTGCTGGGTTTATAGGCGAGAGCCGCTGCATATATTTCTTTTGTTGGGCTTGGCGCCTGTGGCTCAAGTGGCTAAGGTGCCAGCCACATACACCTAAGGTGGCCGGTTCGAATCCAGCCTGGGCCCGCCAAACAACAATGACGGCTGCAACCAAAAAATAGCCAGGTGTTGTGGCGGGCGCCTGTGGTCCCAGCTACTTGGGAG